TAATGTAGATCCACTGCATTTGGATAGCAGTTTCTCGGATATAGATGGAAGCGAGTCGGTACCCGAGAGTTTTGGAGGTACAGTACGATAACTTATTAACTGAAATTGTATTTAGGCCAATTAATTTCCCTTCCAACATTTACAAACTGTAAAAATTGCTTTTTCATCTGTTTTTAACAGATGACACAGTCCAAACAGTTGAAACCGAGCAGCCAATTGAAACGGAGAAGCTAGATAATCCTGGTCAACCAAAAAAAAAAAACAATGGCAGCTAAAACATGCAATTTCCTGTTCATTTGGTTTCTTTCTTTTTTTTTTTTTTTTTTTTGTCTCGGCAGAAAAATCAGCAGTACTAAAATTTAGACCATCTCACTTTTTTACAGCCACTCGAAAAAGAAGAAATGATCAGGCCTCAGCATCCACCACTGATTTGGTAAATAAAATGTTACAGGTAAATGAAGAAGCAGATGAGAGAGACAGGAAGATGCTCTGTGAATTTAAGATGGAATTAGAAATGGAGGAAAAAGGATGCGATGGCAAATGGACAGAGAGGAGAGGCAAAGGCAAGAAGCCAGAGAACGAGAGGAAAGGCAGCGACAAGAAGCAAGAGAACGTGAGGAGAGGCAGAGAGAAGAAACAAGGGAGCGTGATGAAAGAGCGAGGAGAGAGCATTTAGACCTGCTTTTAATGTTGTTTCAACGGGTTAATGATCCTGTGAAGGATTTTCATCAACTGTAATCTAATAAGCTTTAGCGTTGTTACCAATTGCATGTTTAAAAAAACTACGTATCTATATACTGTACCATACAACTTTTAATAGAAACTTACTACTGTACTGTTTTTGGAATAAACACTGATTTACATGATTGAGCATTGAGTCATTGATAATAGTAATAGACCTTGGAAGGAATGAGGAACATGGGGTTCCATTCTAAATAGTATGGTACATAATTATTATTTGTTAAGAATTAGTAGAAATAGTTAAACAAGAACATAACATATTAAAAAGTATATTTTCCATCCTGTTCATACTCAAATATTTATACCAAAGGGCAATTCCACGGTAACTTCTGGACACTTTGACACAAAATTTTAGAATTTATGTGCGTACAAAATATATAATTTATTCAACAATAAAAAAATCACAGTTACACATTGTACTTGCTACTGCTACCTACATTTCTATAGAAAAAAAAAATTAAATATCTACAAATATATAATAATTATTAATTTTAGTATCTCCGGTAACTTCAGGACATGAAATAGGATATAGAGTTTTAACTTATTAAACATAAAAGTCTGTGAAACTAAGGCATATTATGCACTTTTTTGATATGGAATGCATTGAAGAGATATTTAGCTTTAATAGGATATTCTTAATAAAAAATATATTATGATGATTATATTAATATGATGATCATTTTAAAAAATCATGTGGTAATTTCGAGACAGTAACTTCTGGACAAAAGATTGACATCATAATGATGAGTAAATTTTCCTTTAAAAAGGTCTTAAAACATAAACAAATGTTGGATTCTTATCTAATTTGTACAAAACAAACATGATTTAATGCTGTCTACAGTATTATCAAATGTAATATTTTACATTTGTATCACTTTTTAAGAATATTTTTAAATTAAAAATTATATCACAGTAGCTAACTTTAATAATAATAATATACACAATAATTATACTGTATATCTTGTTCACAAATTCACGGACTGTGCTGTCTCGAAAGAATTTCGTAGGCCGCGTTAAGAATGACAAAATATCCTCTGTATCTACTGGAACCGAGCCACATAGCTTGTATTCCACTATTTGCATTCACACCTGGGCTGTGTATATATATTGCCTTGGTTTGGCTCAGTAATCATTAGTAGTTGTGGGACTAGTTTGGGCCCTACCTAAGCTGGTCGAACGTTTCGTTTGGGTCTATACCCTAGCTGCACTGATGAGGCCTGGAAGGCCGAAA